TTGCCACTGGCGACCACAAAGATGCTCCCAAAGCCCTGGCGGCCAGCAATCACCCCATGTTGCAAGGCAGCCTGAGGAGCAAAAACGCCCGGGTCCGTTAAGGAGCTCATAGGAAGACCCCGACCATCCTGCCAGCCGCCCTCACCTCCCTTTCTAGAAGGAAAAGAAAAATGGGCTCAAAGACACGGGGCATGGGACACAGAGATTTAAAGGTGGACACCAGAGCGGGAGGAAGCTTTCAGTGGAACAACTGTTGGCCAGATGTGCTCTGCTATCAGAGAGGGTGGAGCCGGAAACGGGGAGCCCAGCACAAAACAAAAGCAAACAATCTCAAAGCACTGGTGCACTTCTAAGAATGTGTCCCCCGCACTCCCACCCCAAGTTAGAAGTGCTCGTCCCCAAAGGAGGTGGTAAGGCCACGTGGCGCAGGTCTGGCACTGCGGATGGAGGTGGGCCGGGAGCAGCTGTAGGAACTGAATGAAGAGGGCGTCTTAGGTCTCCAAAGCCTCTGTGTGGTTCCCAGTTACCTTCCCAAGCTGATGGGGACCGTCCACTGTCTTTCCATCGTCATCTGGTCCCCAGCTGTTGGGAGATACCCAGTGGGAAGAGCCAGAGTCAGGCCGTGGTTGCCCACCCAGACTCCCCAGTCTTAGCGGCTGCCCCTCCGCCTGGGCGTTTCTCCTCCTCCCCAGGGCGCCAGCACAGGACTCCCTCAATTAAAGCACACAGGGGTCAAAGGTCTGGCCCTCACTCCAAAGCGGAAAACGGAAGTACGTGCTAAGGTTCTTTTCCTTGGAAACTTTCCCAGTTTAGGGCTACTTCAACTTTCCCCATAAAAACCCTTTCTCAGGTCCCAGGGGGCAGGGGACAGTACATACTGGTAGAGAGGGTTGGGAGGCCACCCTTCTCCCAATTAGGGAACTAACACTAGGCCTGAAGGCAGAGCACCTGCGAAGAAGTATGCAATCTGTGTAAGCTCTCAGGTCTGAGGAGTTCTCTATTCTTCCTCTAAAAGGAAAAGTACACTGTGGATGAGGTCATGGACTGACAGGAGATACTGGTTGGAGAAGAACGGGAACCATCAATGCTGTGGGGGCGGCCCAACCTCAGTTCCTCCTTATCACCAGCCCCTCCCCGCCATAACCATAGCCTGAATCTGCAGGAGCATTTCTGTGTGGGGGGTGGTGGGGATCGGTGGTGGGTATTCAGCTCAGCTGTGGTTGGAGAGGAATGCCCACTTTCTTCCAGAACCTTGAGTTTAATAACTCAAATAAATAAATATGAGGCAGGATGGAGCACTTCTCATGTGGCGACCTGATCACTGGGGTGATGTGGGGCTTAAGACTGAGAACCCAGTGGCTGGGGTCTGAAGAGATGAGGGCAGTGGACTTACAGCCTCTCCCTGCGGGGACCTGCCCGAGTCAGCCCACCTTGCTGTTCTCTGGTTGCAGGATGCGCCCAGCGCCCCGGCCTCTCACCTTGTTCCTGGCTCTGTCTCACCTGCAGCTGTAGATGTCATTGATCTGATAGTGCTTGTTGAATGCCACGGCCTCCATGCTGTCTGTGAGGGGTCCATCCAGTACCCGGATACCTAGGCAGTGAAGGCCACACCAGCTCCTCAATAAGGCTGCTCCCTAGACGGGCAGCTGGGTGGTGGGGGCCTGTGTGGAGACTTACTATTCCCTCTAAGTGCTCTTGGATGTTTTTTGAATTTTTATACCATGGGCACGTACATCTCCAGAAATTTTTTTTAATGTAGTGTTAAATCTTAGACTTTAAGGATCATGGGGTAGAGTGGGAAGAGGCACAGGCTAGAATGCAGGGATCCCAGGTTCCCACCTTAAGTGCATCCTTAACCATAAAACACTGTTGTGCTGCTAGACACATGGAGGGTGTTCAATAGATGGTACTCACTACTATTACCACTATTTCCCGTGGACGCCCACTCTCACCCTCTAAAATGGGTGGGTCACACCCTGGTCATCACACAGGGATAAACGGAGCTTTCAGAAGGGAGCTGGGCCCTGAAGGTTTCTGGCTCGCTCTGTAGCCCCATTTCCAGAGAGGGCTGCTGACCTCTGCTGGTGTATAAGAAAAACACAGCCACCCCAGTCCAACCTCACAAGTGTAGGACACCCAGGCAGTGAAGGCCATACCAGCTTTTATGAGTGTTTATGAGGAATCACAGGGAGGGCATCCCCATTTGTTTCCTTCACCTTCCGCCTTGATGGACAAAAACCAAGAGGCAAAGGAGCCCTAGAACCACTGCCAGCAGGGACCAGAGCTGCTCAGCTCTCTTGGAAGGATGGAGAGCAGACAGTGACCATCAGAAGGGCTGGGAGACATGGAACTGGGAGAGGAGCCTCCAGAGACAGGGGGTCAAGGAAGGAGGGCAGCTGAGGAGGCAAGTGGTAAACTTACGAAGATACAGAGTGGGGAGGGTAGATCTCAGTGGTAGAGGGCATGCTTAGCATGCACGAGGTTCTGGGTTCAATCCCTAGTACCTCCGTTAAAATAAAATAAATAAATAAAGTTGATTACCCCCCCACCCCCAAAAAAACCTCAACACAGAGACAACACCGATAAGCAAAAGGAGCAGAGAAGGAAGACTCAACACAGGGTGTGTCTGTGAGGCTGGCTTGGAAGGTACCTGCTATGCGGCTCCCGAACGCCACCCCCACGGCACAGAAGCTGTTGTTGGGCACAGCAGCGATCTCTCCGGCGCACCGCGTGCCGTGGTGGTTGCCGTTCTCCACGTCTGGGTGGGGCATGGGGTCGGGGTCATTGGAGTTGAGGTCATAGCTGCCCTCGGGACTCTGAAACATTGCAGGGGTGGAGTGACAAGTGGTCACTCACCGGTTACAAGGGGTCAGGTCTTGGAGCTCAGGGAGAGCAGGGAGCTGGGGGTTTGGGGCTCGGAGCCAGCACAGCAGGCCACGTGGGCCATGAGATAGGAAGACGGGACACACTGGGGCCGAACTGGGGAGTGCTACGGCTCTCCGCAAACCTCTCTCTGGGTCATTACAGAAATGTGCTTGGGAAAGCTGGAAAAAAGGGGATTGAGAGCTACCTGAAGGCCAGGCTTTAGAGAGCGGAAGGTGCTCAGAACTTGTTTGGAGAGGGAAGTCGCTGGCAGGGGCCACTCCTTACTCCCCAGGACAGGGAGTGGCAGCAGGAACCAGGAAGTGTCGCTCAGGACACTCTCCCCTGCTGAGCTGGAGCCACTTTCTGCATCTTAACTGCCAGGCTGGAACACTGGCTGGGGACTAGGAGCAGGTGAAGACTCCCCCACCTCGCAGGCCCTTTTGTTTGGCCCAGTGGCCTCAAAGAAAGGGGACAAGCCTGAGGCAATGTCAGGGCCTAGGTAAAGACAAGCGGGCGGGGCAGGTTGCCCCAGGGCTGCTCACATAGTTGGGTGCGATGTCCTGGATGGTGTGCTCCACGCCATCGTCCACTACAACCACAGTCACCCCTCGCCCGGTTACGTTGCGCTCCCACACACCCGTCACGTTGATGTCCCTGCCGGGGCTCCGCCGGTTATTCTGTAAGAGAAACAGGGTTCAGAATTATTCTCCGAGCCTTGGGAATCCAGTGATGCACAGCACAGCCCACAGAGGGACAAGTTATAGCGAGTAGCCCCTTTCCATTCTTGGCTGCCATCAAGGAGCCAGAGATAGGTTGTGGACTAGCAGGTGGAAGTGGAGTCAGAGCCAAGGAGAGACAGGTGAGAGCTTTGCCACAATGTAGGTCTTCAGGAAAGCTTGGCATTGTTCACAGGCAAAAAAGGGGAAATGATGTCTAGGGTTAAGGGTCGGACAGTACAATTCTCGTGCCATATACTACATATTTTATGAACATTATATACTATAACGCTAGTAGTTAACTCACAAAGTGTTTCCCACGCATCAGGTACAATGTATATTTCATTTAACCACAACCATTAAAAATGTCCATTTTACAGAGGGGGAAACTGAGGCACAGAGAGGTTAAGCAGCTCACCTAAAGGCACATGCTGGTAAGTGGCAGGCAGCCCAGGCAGCCTGCCCCAGCACCTACCCCCTGACAATGCAGTCTGCTGGCTCTCTAGGAGTGAGCACAGGGGAGAGGGGCGTAGAGTCGAGGATGAAGCCCACCACTGAACCCCTACAAATGTCTCCTCAAGCAAAGGATGGGGGTTACTGGAGTCACGCAGACAAAAGCCCACCAAAGCACGGGACGCCCCCGACCTAGCTATCTGAAGCGGGAAGCTGCAGGGCTGGACTCACCAGGTGCCACTGCTGTGGGTACTTGGGGTCATTGAAGTGGACGCTGCGCTTGGTCCGCTTGAGCAGCCTCTGCTCTGAGTGCCAGCGCACAGCTTCATGCCTGGCCAGCACAGCCTCCACCTGCTGCCGGAGGGCTGCTACCTGCCGGGCCTGCTGGTGCCCAGCAGGCTGGACCAAAAGGTAGTGCCCATGGAGCTCCCCGATGCGTCCCGCATTCATCAGCCCTGCTGCCTGGGCCAGAGCATCTGCCCGCTGCTCCAGCGCCTCTTCCTCCCCTTCGCCTTTGGGGCCGTCCAGATGCACAGCCCAGCTTAGCCCCCCTGGACCCTGGGCCCTGGGCCCACCTGCCCCAACCAGGCCCATAACCCAGGGAAGCAGTAAGAAGAGCCCGGCTAACTCCAGCCAGAGGCAAGCGGGCAGGCCCAGGGGGGCATCCGAATGCGGCACTTTCTGCCTCCCCTTCGGCATCAGAGCAGTAGGCTGTAGATGGAGAGAAAGGACATCAGAGATAAGAGCGCTGATAATTGCAGAAATCCGAGAGGGAAACTGAGTATCTATGTATTACACCTGGAAACCCTTAATCCACACCTTTTAAATCATTAAACATTTGATTCTCTCTTTTTATTTACATTTATCCCCAGGGATAAGCCCCTAGTGGGGAGTGTGGGCCCGCATTAACCCCAGTGGCTACCTCGATAGCATGCTTATCACAAGATAATCAAGCAGCAGGTCCAGCTGCTAACAGGCACCACACTGCTCTTCCCCATGGTGGCCCAGAAAAGGGCTCAAAGGTCTCATCACTCCTGAAAACTCCTGGCAGAGTCACGACATTTCTTTAGAAGAGACCCTCCTCCTTTATTTAGAGGGGACAGAAAACTTCCCCCAGATGACTTCTCAGTCCCACTGTCCTGAAGATTAACTCCCTCACTGTGGAGCCTCATTCCCACCTGGTCTTTGAGTGAGGTCGAGCTCCTGGATTGGCTAACCACCTCATGCTCATTTTGTGCAAATGGAGAAAGGGCATCACTCTCCCTGTGAACAGCGCTGACTCCAAGCACAGATGGCAGACCTGTAGGCCCAAGAAAAGAAACGTGTCTTTCCAAAGCCAGGGGAGCAAGCAGAGGCTAGCCATAAACTCCAGGACCTGTGACCAAAGAAACTGCCAATGATCAAGTATCATTTCCAAGAATCTCAAAGAGGTCATAGACTGGGACTGAACTGAAACAGTAAGGCCAAATCAGTACGAAACCCAGAAACCCTCCTTCTTTGCTTAACCATCACGCCACCACCCTCTTTTCTTTTCATTGGATGTCTAGAAGAGGGCTTGAACTCTTACCAAAAACCCCTCTTGAAAGTACTGTGTCCCAGAAATCCAAGTGGTAGTTAACTTCCTGATTTCTGTATCTCTGAAGGATGCCAGGGGAAATAAGGGTAGGCGGGAGGCAGGGGAAATGGGGAAAATCAGAGAATGCAAACAAAACTGAACAGGCGTAAGGCGGCCAATGAGCACCCTGGGGAGAAGGAATGAATGCAAAGCAGCACAAAGGGCTACCCTTAGTCACTAGCTCAGCAAGTTGGCTTAGAAGCGAGGGCTCAAGCTCCAAACCTGGGACTGCCACCCATGGTTTGACAGAAGGCCAGTTGAGAACTGGTGGGCATCTGTGGGGACAGAGACAGGTGAATGGGAACACCTGTGTACCCATAGGCTGCCGGGCTCCTTCAGAAGCATCTGCTCTCTATGGGGCTCACCCTGAGGCAGAGCTTAGTACCCACACACATACCCAAATGGGTCAGTCTCAACACATTACAGAAACGTGGGTATTCTATCTAAGTCTCTTTGGTAAAGGAGAAGGGAACTTCCACCACCTAATACTTCCCTCCAAAAAGCTGCATTTCACATCTCTTTTTTCCTTTTAGGTTCCCAGGCAAATTCCTGCCTGCCCTCCAGCAGCCTCCACTGTCCCAAGATATTCAGGTGTCTTTCCCAGTCTACATACTTTACTAAGCAAAAGAAAATCTCGTTAGATAGCCTGAGAGTGACCTAAGTAGGCAGGCTCATTCAGTCTCAGTAGATCCCATAGATTTCCGGAAGAGAGAAGAAAGCTGACCACCTCTTCCTCCATTCCCCCTGGCAGAGCAGTACTTCACCTCCATCCCCACCCCAGGCTTCTGGGAAGGGAAACTTAAACCCTCTGAAAGCAGATCTCAACTTCACCCAACTGCTAGGCGTGTCTTTACAGCTCTTAGGTGTCAAGAGAGAAAAGGAATGATACGGGCAGCCCAGAGTCCAAGATTCTGCTCCCAAGAGACTGTCCTCGCAACCTCTACACCCAGTTCCTAGAAACCAGGTTGCGTGCAGGGGTCAAGTTTCATTGATTTCCTCCACCCTGGCCTCGACTGCCCCGTAAAATGTGCCCCTCTCCTAAGAAGACCCTTACTACCTTGGAATCCACGACCCCGGGACTCCGTCTCCCTGGACTCCCCCACGCCGGGACCGAAGGCGCCGTCTGGGCAGCTCCCTCATCCTCAGACATCGGCTGCGCCCAGTTCTAGACCACCCGACTTCCAATGCCCCACCCCCACCGAGTTCCCAACTCACCGGCCCGGCCGCAGCTGCTGCCGCCGCCTCCCTGCGGAAACTCGCGGCTTCCCGGGAGCCGGAGGAGCCAGTGACAGTAGCATCACTTCCGCTCGGCGGCGCAGCCAATCAGCGGCGGGTCCCCGGCCAGGCGGACCGGCCGGGAGCCACCAGCGCTAGGGAGCAGGCTCCTTTGGGCATCCTCCACCGACAGAGCAGCGTGCGGGTGTGGTGGGCGCTCCTCGGCGGGCCCCACCGCCCCGAATTCTCGTGGCATCTTCAAGAGGGGCCCTCTCCATAGGGACCGTCCTCTCCTTCAAGGCGTCCTCTGGAAAAGGCATCTCGGTTGCGACCTTTAAAAACACCTCGTTCCTCTTCTCTCTCTAATCGCCATGACCCTGACTTTCCCTGTAACCTTCCTAGGGAGGGTCTTCCCCCCACCAGGTCTCCTTCCTTCTTCCGGTCGCATCTACCTGGGTCCCTGCGCTGGGAGAGAGTCCACTAGTATCTTGGGATTTCCGCAGCGTCCGCGTCCCCGCGACCGTGCCGGCTCCGGCCGCCAGAGGGCGCCGTCGGG